GTTGGTAGCTACACCATGATCCTCTACATGGGGCTGCCATCATAAGGCAATGGAGGCACAGAGGAGTGATTATATAGCCAAGGCATAGAGGTAACACTACTGTAGCTTTCACCACATACTTGTACTCTTCAGCTGTGTTTTTTTTTCTTTTATTATAAATAAAATAGCTACTAGGCTTGTCTAGTAGTATAATTTTCCAAAAAAAAAAAGAAGCTTCAAGGGCTATTTATCGAAGTTGGGTTATAAAAATCAGAAATTGGACTATTCGAAATCAACTCTGGGGTCGCAGAAGGAACCGCATAGCAAGTATGTGGCTTGCAAAATGGACCGCAGAAAAGGTCTCCAAAAATTGGACTGGTCTGAACCAGTCCGTGGCCCGCAGACCACTTTTGCAACCGCATATTGGACCACAGAATCATCTTCGGAAGTTTTCATATTGGTTCTGCGATGCGTTGTGCGGTCCTCGAATCGGTTATGCATTCGCAGAATGGGCCGCATAATGGTCCTCAAACTTGGCTCAATTTCTGCTTCACTCTGTGGCACTTATGCAGCCCGCGAAACGGTTCTGCAGTCACGAAACTGACTGCGGAATTGCCTTCTTCTTCCAAAAATTTTCATCAACAATGCATTCGTCAAAACCTTAAATTCCTTAGCAAAATTTTCAGACGCCTTACAATGATTCTCATTTAAAAGCTTTAAGTTGGAAGAGTTGATCAAGTTTGACTTTTCTGTATTTGACCTTGCATTGAAGTTTTAATGGTTCAGTTAGGTCCAGATTGTGACTTTGAACTTGGGTGTATGCCCGAATTTGCATTTGGATATTTCTAGAAGGTTTCGATACTATTTGGCAAAAGTTAGAAATTTGAAGATTTGGAACGTTCAAATAATGTAGCTTTTCCTAACAATTCCATAGCCTCCCGAAGATACGTACAGACGTCTCTGTATCGATCCGCAAGACTCTACTAAACCTTCTTGTAAATGGTAACACTATGAACCTAGAGCTCTGATACCAACTTGTCATGATCCATATTTTCCCTCCTTAAGATGTCGTGACGACACCTAGTCTCTAAGACTAGGTAGGCCTAACAAGCATGCGGAACAACTGAAATAGTAATCCAACAGCTCATAACGTCAACAACTATATAAAGTAAAAACTGCAATTCAACATGTATACAACTCCCAAAACCCGGTAAGAAATAAGTCACAAGCTCTATATACAATATTGCACAATCCTATACATCACTCTCTATCAAGAAACATAAAGAAACAAGGAAAAGGCGGGATAGAAGGGGACTTTGAGGCCGGTGAACGCGGGCAGGTTTACCTTGAAGTCTCCAAGCAGAGACGCAACTCTGTAACACCGAGGCTGATAGGATGTACCTGGATCTACACAAACATGTGCAGAAGTATAGTATGAGTACACCACAACGGTACCTAGTAAGTGTCAGGCCTAACCTCGGTAGAGTAGTGGCGAGGTCAGGTCAGGGCCCTACTGGAGATAATGAGAACAACACAGAAGATATAATGATATAATAAGAATGATAGGGAAGTGAAACAAGAAGGAAAATACGGAAAGTAACAACACATAATCAAGGAAAAAGCAAATACAATACGAAAGGATACAAGAACCTTACACATTAAAGGGAACAACAAATAACAATATAACAGATAGAGAAAATCAACAGGGGCACTCTCGAGGTACCGCCTCGTAGTCGCAAATATAAAATAACTCAAAGTCCTTCCTTATATCACCGCGGGAGCCTTTATATTTTTGTTTTGAAAATCATTTTCCCGAAATAGCACCTCGCGTTTTAGCCTACCTTATCACATTGCATGGCTTCCGGTAGTTCCCCTACTAGCCACGCGTATCAATCCCATCTTATCTCACTGCATAAGTTACAACACCAGACCTTATACCACATCATGGGTATCAATAATCACAACGGCACGACAGAAACCTCGTGCAAACAATAACAACCGCACCGTAGATATCTCATACAACAATAACAACAACATGGTAGAAACCTCGTGCTAGCATCCAGAGCTACCGCTTCTACAGATGAGGGCTCGCTTCTGCGAGACCGCTTTTGCGGGAGAAGGATTGCACATGCGATCAAGCCCCAAGACTGTTTCCCCAAAAAATGAAAAAGGGGAATTCAGAAAATGTCAAGAAGGTATATATGTTACATCTCAAAATAAATAAATAAATAAATTCAAGAAGGTATGAGAATATGATAAATTTTTATTTTTGCTTTTTCTTAGTTAAACTCTTAAAATTATTTAACAGAAGTTTTTAACATAAAAAATATTTGCTAGAAATTGTAAGAAAATAATTGAGATAGGAGGGTCAAAATGTGTATACGAGTCTTGTGACATATGAGGGTAAAAAATGTGTGCCTTTGCCACACCAGTAGCATATGAGTCTTGTGACATATGATATGGAAGCGTCAAAATTATCTACAACTGTCCCTTTCTTTTAACGGTTAAGGGTCTGATTTACCCCTTTATTATCATAAATAGGTCTTATTTACCCTCCATTTAAGTTTTTTGTCAAAAATATCCCTATAGTTATACATTAGGGTCATATTTACCCTTACACGTTAAAAACACCCTTTCATCTATTAAAATCCACGTGGCATCCCCTTATTGGACCAACTGACCTGCCCCATTTTTTTAATTTCAAACCCACCCGATCCCAGCAACAAAACTACACCCGTCCGTTAAAAAGGATTTTAAATGGACGAGTGTAGTTTTTTTTAGGGGTGTTCATAAAAACCCGAAAAATCGAACCAAACCGACGATAAAAGTAGCTATTTTAATTTATTATTACACCTATATATATGTATATTTTTATATTAAGTTTCTAAAATTTTATGGTGCAATATTAGTCGTTTGTATTTTTAGTCTAGCTCTTTGCTGTTATAACAATCTAATTCTTTGCCTTTACATTCTAGTTTGATTAGTAGTTTTCTTTTGCTAAGTACAAGAATTTCTTTATTTTAAAAATAATCGATTTTTAATCGAGTACTTAACTTCTTCATCACTATTTGATTCAATTATCATCAAAATCGAACGATAAAAAATAGAAAAATATCAGGAAATCTTCTTCCGAAATATAGTCGCGCGGAATATGCATTTGGTAATGTATGTCTCATATTTAAGAAAAAACCCAAAAATCGAAAAAATCAAAAAACGGACAAAAATTGAATCGATAAAAAAACTACTTAATTAATTTGTTTGGTTTGGTTCCAATATTTGAAAAAGCGTCTTACTTTTTTTTTAGAGAAAAAATCGACCAAAACCGAACCATGAACACCCCTAGTTTTGTTACTGGGATCGAGCAGGTTGGAATTAAAAAAATGGGGCGGTCGGTTGGTCCAATAAGGAGATGCCACGTGAATTTTAAAAGATGGGAGGGTGTTTTTAACGTATAAGGGTAAATATGACCCTAATATATAAATGTAAGGATATTTTTAATAGAAAACTTAAATGGAGTAAATAAAACCTATTTATGATAGTAGAGGGGCAAATCAGACCCTTTACCGTTCTTTTAATAGCTAGAAACGCCTGGAATTTTGAGGCAAAGAAGTAGACTAGAAATAAGCTTTGACTTAACAATTTATTAGATAAAAATAACTTCCGGAGAAATACGAATGGTAACGATAACTTAATAGTTGGGTTATACGGACATATGCTTGTTAGTATGTCAGTTCTACTTTTTATGCCTTTATAATGTAAAAGTTCCCTTAGTAAAAACAATATTGTAAGCTAAATGTATGGATTGATGCTTATACCTTTATTTTACTTATCTATGATATATTTTGTATTTTCATCCTTTTCTTATTTCACTAAATCTAATTTTTTAATGCTCATCTCAAAAAATTTTTTTGCGATCGCAAATCTATTCACTAGTATCTAGAATATTCTGGAGTATATGACTTCAACAAATTAACTTTTATTTTAAGTGATATTTCAAAAAAATAACAAAGAAGAGTCAGCTCCATTTTAGTATTTTCAATTTCCAAACCTATCGCCCACCAGAGAAGGAAAAAAATGTAATGAATATGAAAAAAAAAGAAATGGACTTGGACATTTTCCTTAAAGATTGATTATCGAATGTTGACAAAAATAAAGTTGGAAACTTTTTTTGGTTCCACAAGAAAGTGGAAGACTGGGAAATTGTTCGAGGCCCTCTTGAACTGCTTGTTGGAGTCTCAAATGTCATCTTAAATCGTAATAGTGAAATAGTTTAGTGTATTATTTATTTTATCCTACTTCTTTATGTTTCTGGCATAATTTAGTTTCAAACCTGACAACTCTACTATTTTGTGGATGTTTTTAAATGCCGGTATAGAAAGCTGAGGAGGTTGAGTATTAGGGTTGTAGGTTAGGAGGTAGTTGAGTCTTGCCTTACTTCGTACCTTTGTGAGGCTAGTCTGATAGGGTTTTTGTCGATGTCAGCTAGTGGCAATGATGTGTCTTACTACTCTTTTGTTTTCCAGAATGTCGGGTCTATGTGTTGTCTATCGCTTTTGCTTTGCATCTACTTTCTCATTTTCATGATGTTAATTTTCCTACAGTACTGATATTGTTTCTTTTTGTCTTCTTGAGCCGAGGGTCTTCCGGAAACAACCTCTCTACTCCATCGGGGTAGGGATAAGGTCTGCGTACACACTACCCTCCCCAGATCACACTAATAGGATTTTACTGGGTCGTTCTTGTTATCGTAGAACATCTATTCTCCCTATATAAGTAAAATGAAAATGTTAGAAATTAAAATATTTGTTGATGTGAAAATGTGTTACTGATAATTTTGAAAAATTAAAAGATGTCACACAAACATGAAGAAAAAGTTTTTGATGGGTGAAGTGTCTAACTCTAGTGGGAAAACTTTGGGTATGTTGACTTTAGCATAAAACATTCTCTTTCACCAACCAAGGTATGTTTTCTTTTTATTCTTTTTATAGCAATTCTTCTCAGTCGTGTGTAGCAAAACAACCATGGAAAGCAAAAATAAATATTTTCTCCTTTTCCTCAAACTTGTATTGTTCTTGTGCTTTTCTTTCGAAGCTAAGACAAACACCACGAACCAAAAATTGTCCCTTGGAGATACGCTTGATGCAGAGAAATCCATTACTATTGGCGTAACTTTGGTATCTTCCGGTGGAATATTTGAGATGGGCTTCTTCACACTTAGTAATCTATCAAATTATTACATCGGTATATGGTATAAGCAAATAACCCCACAAACTATAGTTTGGGTAGCAAATAGGGAGACTCCTCTTTCGTTTTCTGAGATGGGATTAGCAGAGCTCAAAATTATGCAGGATAACTTGGTGCTTCTCAACGGGAATGAACTCACAATTTGGGCAACAAATATTAACTCCAGTACGAATAAACCTGTGGTTGTGATTCTTCGTGATGATGGGAATTTGATTTTGAACCATGGGTCCAATTCACTGTGGCAAAGTTTTGATCATCCAAGCCATACATTTTTGCCTGGTTCTAAAGTTGGCTACAACAAAAAAACTAAAACACAACAAACTCTTACCTCTTGGACCAACTCTGAAGATCCTAGCCCAGGGCTCTTTTCCCTTGAGATGGAACCTAATGGTGAGTCTATTGTTAGGTGGAACAAGACTGTACAGTATTGGTCAAGCGGACCTTGGAATGGACACAGCTGGGGCACAGTACCTTTAAAATCAAATCACATGTTCAATTTCACGTTTATAAATAACACGAATGAGGTATATTTTTCATATTATATTTTTAATCCTTCGGTTATGTCAAGATTCATAATAGATGTCACGGGGAAAATTAAGCAGCTGACGTGGTTGAATAGTACCAAGCGGTGGAATATGTTTTTCGCTCAACCAGCACAATCATGTGATGTTTACGGTTATTGTGGTGCATATGGTGCATGCAATGACAGCTCAAGTATTCCCTTGTGTGATTGTTTGCCTGGTTTCACTCCTAGATCAAAGAAAGATTGGGATTTGAACAGTTTCTCTGGTGGTTGTGAGAGAAAAACAAGTTTGAATTGTGGTAATGTTAATGCATCTATTTTGGAGGAAGACAAGTACTGGAATCATTCTCATATGAGATTACCAATCGATAACAATATTTTAACCATTGATAGTGCAATAGAATGCGAATACACTTGTTTGAATAATTGCTCTTGTACTGCTTATGCTTTTGATGACAACAAATGTCTAACTTGGGATGGAGACCTCTTCAACTTGCAACAACTCTCCGAAAATGATGCAAGTGGAATAACAATTTATGTAAAACTAGCTGCTTCTGAATTTTCAGGTATTCACAGATTATATATTCATCCTCTTGGGATTTACTTTGTTTTATTCTATATGACAATCTTTCCTTTTAGCATGTTATCAGGAAAAAAAAAAAAGAATTTTTTCTATATTTGGAAAAAACTATTAACATCAAACTCCCAAATTTATCTTCAATGACATGCTCATATATTTATAAAAATGTAAAAATATATTTTACATCACAAATTCTATGGGTACTTTGGTAAGTCAAGTCTTCCCTTATTATACATCCCGTTTCCGTTCATGCATTTCCACACAATTGAGTGGAATAGAGAGAGTACTAGTTGGTGATTCTATATGTTATTTATTTAAAGCGATCGTATCTCTATTATTGCTACAACAGTTGCATACCAAACACATAAATCAAGAAGGCTAAAAGTTGCTCTTCCTACTACAATTGCCACTACTCTTTTCCTATGCAGCCTTATCTTCCTATTCTATAAAACAAGGAGAGCAAGAAGTAAAGGTAAATGTAAATTCTCTTCTTGATGAATTATAACTTCATTTTACTAGTCCTTAAATATTATACATATTACCTTTATTATTTTTGTCAAGGAAATCCACATCTACACAACTGGTTGAACACTGAAATGGGAGAAAATGACTTAATAGATGAAGAGGATGAGAAAGGCATCGGTGTTCCATTTTTTAGTTTGGAAAGCATTCTAGCGGCAACAGAACTTCTCAGAAGAAAATAAGTTGGGACGTGGTGGTTTTGGCCTTGTTTATAAGGTTCCCGCAAAGTACCATTTTTTGTTAGTTAAACCTTGTATTTTGGGAGTTATGTATATGTTTACAAGTAACATAATTTATTGAAAATATGTTCAGGGAAAATTTCAGGGAGGACGAGAAATTGCTATAAAAAAGTTATCAGCCCAGTCAAGTCAAGGAATTAATGAATTCAAGAATGAAGTAATATTAATTGCAAGACTACAACATCGAAATCTCGTTAGACTTATGGGTTACTGCGTCCAAGGAAATGAAAAGATCTTGCTCTATGAATATATGCCAAATAAAAGCTTAGACACGCTCATATTTGGTTAGTACTCTTTGGATAAGATTAATTTTTAAAATATCTAAATGTAAGATAAACTACTATTTTTTTTTTTTTTTTTTTGGTATTGATTATTATGATTTTTTTGTATGATAACTACACAAGATGAAAGAACTCACGCGTTAATAGATTGGAAGAAGCGATTTGATATCATCTTGGGTATTGCTCGAGGACTTCTTTATTTGCACCATGATTCAAGGTTGAGAATCATTCACAGAGATTTAAAAACAAGTAACATATTACTTGATAAAGAGATGACCCCCAAGATATCAGATTTTGGCTTAGCAAGGATTGTTCAAGGGAATATTACAGAAGCAAATACAAATAAAGTTGTTGGAACATAGTAAGATCAACTACTAGCTGCAATTTTAGTTTTAATACTTGATACAAGTCGTCACTTCTCAAATTTTGCATAATATATATAATAATCACTTTATCGTTGTACAGTGGCTACATGTCTCCAGAATATGCATTAGATGGATTGTTCTCAATCAAGTCAGATGTTTTTAGTTTTGGTGTAATTATGCTTGAGATCATCTGTGGTAAGAGCAATAAAGGATTTTATGAGCGGGAGGAAGCGTTAAACCTCCTAGGTTATGTGAGTGAAAATATCCTAAACTCTAGTCCTGTTTTTTATTTTTTAAAGTTTTGTATAGATATTTATTTTAGTAACTATATTATCTCTTAACCTAACTCTGAAGTTATATTTCAGGCATGGAGATTGTGGAACGATGGAAATGTTATGAACTTAGTTGACGATTCCTTACTTGAATCATGCAATGAAGAAGATGCATTGAAATGTATTAATATTGCACTCTTATGTGTACAAGAAGATGCCAATATTCGTCCAAGCATGCCAGACGTAATTATAATGCTTGGTAGTAAAAGCATTTCCATTTCTAAAACCTAATAAACCTGCTTTTACAGTAAGAACACGTGCTTATAGCACAACAACTGTGTCCTCAAGTGAGTCATACATCAACTCCTAGAATGAGTTGACAGTTACCCTAGAAGATGGTCGGTAACTTGATTTTAAAAGTTGATTGGATTTATCCTATCTACTAGAGGGAGGACGCATGTGCTCTACACGAGCCCAACATATAAGGTATTTAACTTTAATTGAGATGGTGATGGTAAACATGGTGACTAGAGCTGTCAAAACGGGCTAGCCCAGTCTAACCCAGCTCTCAAGTTTCGTGAGTTTTTAAATTTGGTGGGCTAGGGTGGGCCGACCCTCCATCTATATGGGCCTTAAAATGGCCAGCCCGGCCCGGTCCTAAGAGGGTCGCGGGCTAGGACGGGCCGGCCCTTCAATTCTTTTAGAAAAAAATATTTCTCCAAATCTTTAGATATTTTTTCGTGATATAATCTCTTGATCATATGAACGACTTCTATTTATTTAGAGTGTACAAGAATCTTGATATTTGACAAGGAATCTTGTAATTGAAATGCAAATTCTCTATATCTCTAGCTCTTCTTTTTTTAACGTTACATGAATATTTTTTAGTAATTTTCTTTCACTTTCCTTAGGTTCAGGAATTGCTTCAATAAGTTTATATGTTAAGGTTTTTAATTTAGGTTTAATATTATTTATTGATTTCATCATTATAGTCCATGAAATTTTTAACTTCATGATATTTGCTTGTATTGTCAATTTTTTTGGGTATTAAAACTTGACCTTTTTATATACTGAAGAGCAATTTAATAATTAATAATATATTAAAGTAACTAAACTGATCATTGGCCACTTAAAATAATATTTTTTTTTGAAAAAAAATATTATTGGCTACTTAAAACTTTTCTAGTTCGTTTAATTAAGCAAAAAAAAAAAAAAAGTAATCTTGTCATACTACATGCATATCAAAAATATAATTTCTAGTTGATATGGAAGAGTAAATAAGCAATCTAAGGTTGGAAAATGGGAATTATAGTTAATATTTTTTTTAGTTTTTACTTTTTTTACATATTTAAATTTGAATATAAATACGTTACCTACAATGGAAGTAAACATGTTGGTAACAGAACCTTGGCCCACAGGCCGGCCCAGACCCAACCTCAGTCAAGCCTCAAGGGCTAGTGGGCTGACTTGGGCCGGTCTTATAAGTCTCAATTTTAAATGGGCTAAAAAAATCCCAATTCAACCTTACCCAAGTAGCGGGCTGTGTTGGACTGGCCTCACGGGCCAAGCCCATTTCGACGGCTCCAATAGTGACATATACTAAATCAAAATAGATTACCGTAATCGTAAGAGCTTTTTATACTCTATACAACATAGTATACTATTTTTTTTTTTTTGATTTTTATTTTTATTTTTTACATTATGTGCTAAACGCCTTAAAGAAACATTATGAGCTCATTTACTGCATCTTTCTCAACTTTCTCCTTGATGCAAGGCTGTCCGGTTATCTGCATTCCATTGAACGTTATAGATGTTTATAATATTTGCTATTTAGTTGCCTTGTCCTGTTGATTGGTATTGCATATCGTGCTCATATCAGTGAAGACCGGAGTCAATTACTCATATGGTCACTCAACTATCTCAAATTATTTTCTAAAGTCATTTTTTTTTTGTAACAAACTAAGTTACTGAACTATGCCTATTGCACTCAGAAGGTCACTCAACTAGATTTTCCAAATTTTGGATTGCCAAATACCTATTTTACCGTCTGAATTATAAATATTTATCTTCTTTTATTTTTTTACGTTTTTTAATATTAGGATTTTTCCTTTTTAATTTATATTATGTACTTACCTATAAAATAAATAAATATTATTTATAAATTAAAAAAATAAAGAGTATTTAAGCATCTATAATGCTGGAACAAAATAATGAGCATAGTAAAAAAAATTAATTAGAATAATTTGTTCGTAATAATAATTTTAGTATTAACAAAAAAAATGGAAAATTTTATTTACACAATTCTGAATGAAAGAAAATAAAAGTTGTAAAATATACATTCCATGCACGTAATATAAAAATAATTATTTAAATAAAAGTATTATTATAATATACATTATATATTCTTGAAAATTATGCTCAATTATATTATATATATATATATATATATATATATATATATATATATATATATTCCTTGCACGACTTAACATAGCATATTTGCCACTATACAGATACTCCCCCTGCTTTCTGGTGACATAACTTTGTGTCATCGGAAAGTTGATAGAATATAATAATAAAATTGAGCATAATTTTCAAGAACATATAATGTATATTATAAAAATATATTTATTTAAATAATTATTTTTTATATTACGTGCATGGAATATATATTTTACAACCTTTATTTTCTTTTATTCTGAATTGTGTAAATAAATTTTTGAATTTTTGTTGTTAATACTAAAATTATTATTACTAACTAATTATTCTAATTATTTTTTTCTATGCTCATTATTTTGTTATTCCAGCATTATATATGCTTAAATATTTTTTATTTTTTTAATTTATAAATAATATTTATTTATTCTAAAGGTAAGTCCATAATATAAATTAAAAAGGGAATATCATAATATTAAAAAGTTTTTAAAAAAATAAAAAGAAGATAATTATTTATAATTTAGAGGGTAAAATAGATATTTGGCAATCCAAAATTTGAAAAATCTAGTTGAGTGACCTTTTGAGTGCAATAGGCATAGTTCAGTGACTTTGTTGTTACAGACGAAAGTAAAGCTACTTTAGGAGATAATTTTTGATAGTTAAGTGATCATTTGAGTAATGGATGATCACGCCCAACTATGCCTTATAAAAAGGACAAGCGGTCGTTGCAAATATAATTCGGGTATTTAGCCCAGAGTCGAATCCCACAGGGAATTAACCTACCATTTACTTTTGTCAGACTCACTGAATTCTCCATAATCAACTTCCAGATATTTTGAATAACACTTGGTGATATTGCTACTAACTATAACTTAATAAAATCATGTAAACTAAAAGCTAACTACGATTGAGTTGTAAACAAATAAGAGATGGATCTAATGTTGTGATTTCCCCTATTGATGGAATCCCTTCCTGTTATGTTTAGTATAGATTTGCCTAATCATCTCTATCGATCATGAGCACTCATACTACCGTAAATCTCTCCCGAGTAATTACGACAAGTTACTAGACGCACTCTCCCGAGTTACGCTAGCTGCTTATATCACAGCCCACTTAGATCGCACCCAAGGTTTCGTTATCCCTAATCCCACTTTTAAACCCTCGGTTATTGATTCCTCATATACTTTGGGAGTGGTGTTGTTCAACAACTACCTAAATATGCACTCTGTCCCGAGTAATATATATTAAATAGGCACAGCTAATTGAGGATCCTATCAATTAACTACAAGAAGAACGTAGTTGAACAAATGGAGATTAAACCGGGCAAACTATATTAACACAACAAGAAGTTCATCCCTCAACAGGTTCCATCAAACCTTAGACTAAATAATTAGCTACTCATAATTGTGTTCATAATAACAACAACAAAATTCATCATGAATGATAAAAACAAAAGGAAGAAAGGTAGAACTCGATGTCGAATTATCCTCCTTGCCTCTTGCCTCTCTTTCCTTGAACAATACTATGAAAACCTTGATATCCTCTTTTTGGGCGAGCTGGACCTTTTATAGGTTAAGTGGAATTGCCCCCAAACTTCCAAGTTTACCCCTGATATTTCTGCGTTTCGGATTGATTAGCGCGGCCGCGCTCGTGACCGCGCTTGGGCCTCGCATATTGCGTTCTACACTGTCCGGTTTCTTCTGCTCTAGCGTGGCCGCGCTTGGCCCACGCTAGAGTGGTTCAGCTCTTTATCTCCTCTTTTCTTTCTTCTTTCACACGTACTCAACTCCGAGGGGCTTTTCTTGCTTTAATTTAGCTCCAAACACTGTCCTAAGTCCTCATAAGCACGACTTGCTCCTACAAAACATAAAATTCACAATTAGAGTCATTTTATCGTCATTTAACCTTCCAAGAACAGTGAAGCATAGTCAAGTTGTGGCATAAATAGTCGCCAAGCTACATGAATCTAGCCTATTATCAATGAACTCGTGAAGACTTGACCACTTTTTTTCTTCATGGAGGACTTGGTGGTACCGCTCACGCAGAAATTGAATTCTACTTAATGAATCGAGCACAACAACGCATACCATGATCAATGTCAAAGAAAAACTGAAAGTAGCTGGGCAGAATGATAAAATCTCCATAGGGTGATAGCTGAAGTTACTAAGTACGAATAACCTCAATCTTTTTCTGGTGAGCATAAATCAACAATCACATGAGTATAATATATTTCAAGAAAAAACAACATATCTGCCTTATATATAGTGGGAATGAACATAAGACTTATCATACTAAACTCCTATACCGGAGAAAACTTGTCAAGTTAAAATTGACCAAAGAATCTGTCACGATTGAAAAATCCCACCTTAGATAGTCGTGATGGCACGTAGTCTCTAAGACTAGATAAGCCCAATACACATTGAGAATTTAGCAGAAATAACAACCGAGATATTAAATTAAACTGATAAATCTCATAATAAAACCAAAATGGAACAACTATCATATATTTTCCCAAAATCGGTGGTACAGAGTCATAAGCTCTACTTAATAATACTAAGAATCTCTAATACATGTGCGACGACCCAAAGGGGGTCATCATTTGTTTCCTTACTCACCTTGTACTTTCGAGGCCCTGAAAACCTCATTTCGGGCTGCCTCGATTTGTGTGCGCAGTCCGGGCGCGTATCCGGAAAGTTTAAATATGGAATTGGTGAGAAAAATGTTAAATCTTGGTATTTAATTGATTAAGTTTGACTTCGGTCAACGTTTTGGGCAAACGGACCCGGACCCGGACCCGTAATTTGACGGTCCCGGAGGGTCCGTAGGAAAATATGGGACTTGGGTGTATGCCCGGAATCAAATTCCGAGGTCCCAAGCCCGAGAAATGAATTTTTGTGTGAAATTATTTTCTGATAAATAATTAAGGAAATTGGA